ATTGAGCATGCATCCCTTATGCGGTTTTCAATGATACTTGTTTGTTCTTTAATACAGTCTCCAAAAGATATAAGGATTCCAAGGTACCTTTCTGCCTTTGTGCTAGCCTTAGATCTGATACCGATATCTGCGGCCATAGGGGTGCCTTTTGGGGTCAGTGTTGTGGATTTGTTCCAACTTATCTTCATTTCCGATGCCGTTTCATAGACCGTGAGGCATTCCCGCAGAGCATTGAGAGAGGTAACCGAATTCTCTGATACCGCTGAGAAGTCATCTGCTAAAGCCGAGACTTTAAGTTCATAGAGAGGTGATACTTTCAGCCCTGTGTAATGAGGGTGTGTTTCCTATCATGTTGAGGAGTATTTCCATCTGAATCACAAAGAGCGAGGGAGCCAAAGGGCAACCCTGCCTGAGCGACCGTTAGATTGTGAAGGGGTCAGATATGAAGCCGTTGACCACTACTCTCCCGTGGGATCCTTGGTAAAGTACGTTGACCCACCTACGAAAGTTCTCACCCACCCCTACTTTACTTAAGACTGCCTGAACGAAGTTCCAGTAAACAAGATCATAGTCTTTCTCGAAGTCAATCAGGATGATTGCAATGTTTGTGTCTATGGTCTTGATCAAATCTATGCTTGTGTTATGGTCATCACATTATCCAGTACTAAACCCGGACTGTTCCGGGGCGACTAATCTGGTCATTAGCGGTGAAACGCGTCTAGCCATGGTTTTTGCAAGGATCTTTCCAGCTACATTTAGTAGTGAGATGGGGTGGTAGTTTTTAATATCCGCCTTATCCCCCTTTTTATATAGCAGTGTAATGACTCCTTCAGTAGTGCGTGTTCCCAACTGATGACCTTCCAAGACTGCATTAAAAACCCTCAGCAGATCTGGTCCCAATAGGGACCAAAATTTGTCAAAAAATTCTACAGGGAAACCGTTTGCCCTGTGGCATTTACCTCTGGCCATGCTTTTCATGGCGGCAGTGAGTTCGGCCAGTGTGATTGGTTGATCCAGTCTTTCCTCTTCCAACGTGGATAAGATTCTTTTTGTTGATTCCCACAACATGTGTTCCATTTTCCTCGGGACTATAGGTCCGCTGGGGTCTTTTTCTGATGTCAGTAACTTTTCGTAAAAGATTTTAACGTATTCACATATCTTCGTAGACACTTGTGCTTTTCGAAGGGCCGTGTTTACTGGGTGGGCCAACTCAGTAATCATATTCGACTTATAGTCTTCCTTCCTTACTGCAAAAGTCCTCGTATTCATGCGGTCCTTGTTCAGAATGTCATCTATGCATCTGAACTTGGCCCATGAGTCCTGTCTGTTTATTTGAATCTCTTGCCATTCTTGTAGCCATATCGCGCGACAAAGAAGTCAATGTCGGTCCAGCAAGGGTGAGGAACCCAGATTCCTTTCTGCTTTCTCTATGTTCTGTTGTATTTTGATTTCTTCGTACCTTCTGTTCGTTGCTTTAACTCTTGAGATTGTTTGAAGTTGGGCCGACATGAAATGTAGGCCTTTGTCCAACCAATCTCCAGGGCTAGAGTATCGTGTAGAGGAAGCTCTCCACTCTTCCCAAAAATTAACTACCCATTCCGTCATTAGTGGATCGTTCATGATCTGCATGTTTAGCTTAAAAGTGCCCCGTCCTTTTCTCAAGATCAACCCCCATGTTCACTGATATGGACACAGGCTTGTGGTCCGAGAGGGGATCGGGGATAATTTCTGCGTTAATTACCCTATTCAGTGCCAGCTCACTAACTAGGATCACATCCAGTCTGCGGTAGGTAGCAAGTGAGTTGTCAGGCCGCTGCCACTCATGGAAGAGAACCAGGTGTAGTCTCGCTGTGTGGGATGAAAACGTCGATAGGGATAAAACTTTTTTCTTTTTTTTTTTTTCTTTTTTTTTTTCACCTTTCTCCTGTCTTCTCAGCCCAGAAATTCGTAATGAAGCTGTCAGGCCGCTGCCATTCAGTGTCACACTGGATCGGCCACACTCCTATCTGACTGCTAATGGGACCACACCCCGGGGCCCGGCCTTCAGGCAGCGACCGGGCCTTCCCTTGGCGGAGGAAAGGCCCGCGGGTGATAGCTGGGCCAAGTACTGGTGGTTTAAGAAATTTTTGATTGAATTGTTGGCTGCAAAGGGGGATGGAATTGGTCCCTAGTGCTTTTCCTAGCCCTGTATGGGGGGTGCGGCTTATATGCATTGTGCAAGGGACGTCAGACCCGTTTTCGGGCATATAATGGAAGGGAAAAAGGAAAAAAGAAAGCTTTGAGAGAAGAATATAACGTAGTAAAAAAAGAACCAAAAAAGAGATCAAAAAGTGGTAAAAAAAAGCAAAAAAAAAAAAAAAAAGCAAAAACTTGTGCGCGGTCAGGGTTGGAGTTTCAAAATACGTTTCCAACTTCCGTTTTTTTTTTGTTTTTTTTTTTCATTTTTTTTTTTACTGTCTCGTTATTATTATTCAACTGTTGAGGAGAGGCCGGGGACCTCACAATTCAACCCGGAGTTATCCCGGCAGCATCAGCCGGTTTGGCTTAACGGTGATCACTGTTTGTTGTACTGGTCCTGAATAATCTCTGGCAGCATTAGCCAGCTTCACTTTTTACAGGACTACTGAGATCCGACTTCTACTGGGTGCTTCCCCCTGACTACTTAACTAACTACTTACTAGTGAGCAACACATCTGAGCAATTGGAGCCTGTCCATTGAGTTCTGTATGCAGTTTGCTGTATAGGCAGGCATAGGGGTGTAGCTGGTCAAAGTGCACGTTGTCCTGGGGGTGCAGTGTAAAATCTTTGCCTTTGCAGCCAACAGGCTTTGACATAGGTTTAGTCTACTGGGCTAAGCCTGTGGTTCTGAGCGGAGCTAATCTAGCCTACTTCAGCGGTGAGTAGTGCACAGGCCTTAACAGAGGCCTGAACCCGGCCTAATCCGGCCGGGGGAAATGCCTAACCTCTGCTTCCTCGTACTAGGTGTGTAGGCGCTCTACTTCCCTCCCAGCCCCCTGTGGGCTACTGCGCCCACCCACTCGAAATGTTCTTTTCTCAATTTCACCTCACACTACCTACCTACCACGACTCCTGATTAGGGGAACCCGGTAGCAGCCAGAACCGTGTTCAGGAGAGAACATGCGGGGGCTGCTCCCGACCTGCAGGTGGCGATACCGGCTAGGTAGCATCAGAGACCATGCCAACAGGACCAATCCCTGTGCCTCCCCTCAGGTGGTGGTCCCCTCCCCTACGAACGTCAGCAGACTCTGCTCCAGTCCCCTCTGAAGTTTACACTGCAGGCCAGACTCCGTTGCGTGGCTGTCGCAGGGCAGAGTTTGTAACTGCAGTCTAGTCATCCACGTCGGAGGGCCAGGCCGTTGTCCCCCCAAAAAAAGAAGAAACAAGAAGAAAAAAGGAAAGATCGTGGAGATGTATCTTTCCATGTTTAAGGGGAAGATTCACTCTCTGTTTCCACGGTTGATCTCGAAATGTGCAAGACCAGAGTGAATCTTCACTAGAAAATGGAAGGATACGGCGCCATGATTTTTGTCTTTCACGGGGATACAGGGGCGGCTGAGGGGCCCAACGGGATACACGGGCTGACAACAACGCAGAGGCCCTAGGGGATAATCGTGCTGACAACAACCCAGTTTCGTTTCACTTTTTTTTTCTTTTTTGTATGTTCTCCTCAGATTTCCCAACCTATGACTGTCATCCTTGGGGCCTCGTGGCGGTGCATCTTCCCATGTTCTAGGGGGAGATTCACTCTCGTTTTGCACATTTGGAGAGTACTTGAGCCCCCCCTCGTGGCGGTGCATCTTCCCATGTTCTAGGGGAAGATTCACTCTCGTTTTGCACATTTGGACAGTACTTGAGCCCCCCCTCGTGGCGGTGCATCTTCCCATGTTCTAGGGGAAGATTCACTCTCGTTTTGCACATTTGGAGAGTACTTGAGCCCCCCCCGCTCCACTACTCTCCGAATGTGCAAGACCAGAGTGAATCTTCCCCTACAACATGGAAGCGCAGCCATGATTTTTGTCTTTTGTGTATGTCAAGAATCGTGGAGCAAGGCCCTCTGTTTTTCTTTTTTTTATCTCGGCCACGTAGCGTGGCTGGCTGGGCAAGGCGACC